GTTGACTGGCATCGCTTGTTTGGCAGCTATAACCTATTTATCAGTAAATAATTGGAATTGGCTTGCATCAATGATCAATTAGGTGAACCATTGCTGAAGTTACTTCTTGGCTAGCTCCTTAATTAATATTATCTTGGTTTTAGTGAATTGCCATTTGATTTTTAGTTGCCTACTTGATTTTATTCTTAATTGTTTTCTTGTTTTAATTGATTCAGGCCTTTAATTATTGTTACTCTGAGTTCAGTGAAGTATTGTTTAGTTTCTAGTCAGTTATTTATTTTTTATTTTCATTTTCTTATTTGAATTTATTTGCTTGTTATCGTTCCTACAAAATCACCCCCTGTGTTACTTTGGATTTCTTAAGAAACAAGTATACCCAGTCCCTGTGGATACGACCCTACTTGTCCTGTCTACAAATTCATAATTATTTGTGAAAAGAAATAACCATTCCATTTGGGTATATCGGATTAAGCAAACTCTTCGGGAATAGGGTGAATCAAGTAACCCATTGCACACCTAGAGTCCCTGCTCCAGTACTTGGAATTGGGTTTGGTCATTTTAACTAGCAACTAAGTTTAATTTTATTATTGTACAGGCTTCGACATCCTGTCAAAACAAAAAGATTCAGAACTATTTGAAAATAAATAAATAATATTATCCTAGAAAAGAGTCAAGAAAATGAAAAGGCAAGCTTTGTAGTGCTTATCATCTTGATTGTTTACAAAGAACTGAAAAATTCACCTGTTGCCTTATATATGTAAAATTAACATTCTTAATTTGACATATTGGATAGAAAAGGCGATATCCTTCAATAAGGACTTGCCAAGAAGAAAAGTCAAAAAATTCTGAGTTAAATTTGAAGAAAAAAAGAAAAATATATTATAAGGGTATTCAACACATGCTATGGTAAAAGGAACTCGAGGTCCTAAAATTAGCTTAGTTGGTAAGAACAATAATCAGGTAAATCAGAAGTCACTCAATTAACTTAGGGTACATTTGATAAAATTGAAGTCTGAAAATTGAAGTTTGAAATTCAAAATCTGAAATCTAAATTTTATTAAATTATTAAATTGTTAAGTATTAAATCTAATACACTTGAATACATATAACATTCAGTGATAAGTGAATAGCTTATAACTTAATTTTAGGAGCAAGTTTTGCCTAGAAAATTCAGTGCCATTTAATTAATTCAAACATTTAATTTTTTGTTAGCCAACGGTCTAAATATGTTAAGATCCGATTTTATTAATTTTAAGTGTTGAATTGGGTTATCAAATAGGGCCTAGTCTTCCATTGTTCAGGTCCTTCTCTTTTCTAAGGCTTAAAGTCCCTCCAATGCCCCAAAAAAAAAATGATAATGAACTCATGAAATAATAGCAAAGGCTATTAACTATATATTATTACTAGTTTTTTTGGCTTCCTAGGCAGATAAAATTTTGTATAGAAATTTTTAACGTGGGAAAAATTTAATAAATGAAACTTAAAATGTTTACAATTAGGAGGACATGTAGGGATTCCACCAGAAGCTGTAGTTTACCTTGAGATGTTACAAAAGGAATAGAAAGGCAAAAGTGACTCTCGGCCACTCTATATATTTCCTCTGCAATCACAGTTTTAGGGAAAGAATTGCTGGAGGCTGTTGGCATTTGACACCTCCGCTGATGCTGTCGAGTTGCAGACTAGCAGGTCGGCATGTATAATTTAGGGTTAATTTCACTTTGTACTTTTCAATTACACTTAAATTTTCACTTAAATTTTTAAATTTTTAAACGAGACATTTTAGTTCTTAGAGTATGAAATTTGTCCCATTTGAGTAAAATCTATCTCATTCAAATAGCCTCAAAGTCTAGGACAATGGTATCATGTGATAAACTGCTCTCCTTCATCTTTGGAAGATTGTTCTTCATGACTTTACATGATGTTATATTGATTTGTTCGATTGATTTGTAATGAGACTTTTGTTTGCACGGCGTAGTACAAACTTTTCATACAAGGGCAAAATAAAAAATGAGATGATGTGGCATTAGGGGAGGGGGTAGGAAGGGAGGAGTGGATTTGATTGGGTGGTTCAAAGGAAGAAAGTGTAAATAAAAGGTTTTGGATTCAAACCCACCGATTTATACTAAAATAATAATAATAATAAATGAAATGATGTGAAATCATTTTTGGAAGTAAAATCTGAAAATAACCAAGTTACTCTTCCTCTCTTGTTACTTGTTTGCTTCTTGTAAAATTCGCGAAAGATGACGTATAGTCATTGCTTGTTGTCTCAAGAAACATGAAAGAAAGAAGAAACACAAAAGATTTTCAACTTTTTCTCAATATAACATGGTTTGACATCCTCATTGAAAGGACGGTAAACAATTATTGATAGGGAATAGGGTGACAATTCTCGATACGACCTGAAAACATAACTCGAATCTAACATGAAATTAGTGGGTATGGGTTTATTCTTCACAGGTTTGGGTCAAATTTAGGTCAGATTCGAATGACCCGCTAAGCAAACAGGTCGAATTCGGGACAGCCCACGGATTGATCCGTTTGACCCGTTTAATATATAATTTTATAGTTTAATTAATAAATTAGAGGCATAAGGTAAATAAAAAGAAAACTAATTAAGGTTATAAATTAGTATTACAAGAATGGAATCATGAATGTTGTGCGAAAATAGGGTATTTTATTTGTGAAAGTATCGTACTTTTGTTTTTGTTCATGATTTTTTTTGTACAAAAAGAAAAATAAAAAAATTACTATGAAATTGGGCTGCAATTTTGTATATTCTTATGGAAACTCCATTATAAAAAAAAAATCCATCATACTATCAAAATGAGAAGGTTAAAAAAGAAAAGAAAATTAAGCAAACAGGTTATTCAGGTCAAGTTTGGGTAGCCCGCGAAATTAACGAGTCAGGTTCGAGTCAAGAAAGCCGATTCATTTAAATTTTCTGGTCGAATTCCGGTTGATGTGTTGGCCAAGATACCTTAGTCTCAACCTGTGACCCGAACTGATTGCCACCCCTAATAGGGAACATTGAAATGATTTAGGACTTCACTAAATTATTTTAAATCAAAAAAGTGAAGGGTTATCAATTAATTAAAGAGAACACCGTAATCACTTTGGATTTTGTCGAGTTATTTCTGTTATCAAATAAGTGAAAGATATTTTAGATATTACCCCAAAAAAATACGATTATAATACCTACAGCCATATCATTTACTCATATCAAGAACGCTATGTTAAATTTGATTCAAGGTTTATCCTCATAGCTCAACCAACAATGATGCTGAGGAATCCCATCTTAGCTGCATTTGCTAACACTATATAATCTATCTATCTGTTATCTATTACCCTATAGAAAGTATCACCAGTCTTTATGTGTAAGAATCTAAGCAAAAATTGTTCTTAATTTTTGTGATATCAAAATTGCCCTTAGCACCAACAAATAGACAAATGGCATTGCATTTTCATAATAATTAATAAGAATTATGCTAACAGTTACAAAGAAACATTCCTTGAGTTGTGGAGAATTAAACCGAAAAAAATAAATTCATTGCATTTCATCAATAATTAATATTAATTATGCCAACAATTGCAAGAATAAAAAACATTCTTTTGAGTTATGATGAATTAAATCGAAAAAAGAACAAATCTTATTTATAAATTATAAAAATATGGTGAATCTTAGTGGTTAATAGTGTTAGTAAAAAGTGATATTAGTTTTTGTGATACCAAAATTATACTCCTCTCTAATAAATGGACAAATTGTATTGCATGTCACTAATAAATAATATCAAAGATGCTAGCAATTATAAAAATCAAAGATTCCTTACTTTTTTATTTACCCAAAAAAAGAAGGACAAATTTTGTTTACAAAATACCTAAGTTTATAAAGAGTACTTCAAACATAAAACAAAATATAATATTTTGGTACTATGAGTCTCTTCAAAAATACCATGAGTCTTTTTGTTTTCTGGACACAAGTAAATTAAGTATTAAGAGTACCTTTTTAGTATAAGTGTATCAGTACTGAGTTAGAAATTTTAAAACAAAATATAATAGGAGATAGAATACGATGGTAGACAAAGAGTTTTATATTAGGAATTTATTTATTTAAATTGCAACAAAAATTAAATTCTAATGAACTTTATCAATGGTATTCTTGTAACAACTAGCAACATTAAACTATTATTAATGAATATTATATATATCAATGCCAATCATAATAATAATAGTTACAAAAGCGAAACATCCCTTTAAGTTAAGGTGAACTAAACAAAACATATATTCTTTTCTATAAAATATCCAATTTCAAAGAGTACTTTAAAGGTGATTAAAAATATATCCAAGTTCAATATGACTATTATATAATAAATAATCTTAGCATCTTATAATCTTTAATCGTATAAACTCTATAATCATAAAGTATATCATCAATGAGAAATACAAATAACCAAATCAAAATATTTCTCTTCAAAGTTAAGCTAGTTAAACTCGAACAATGGAATTTCAATATATTTAAATCCTATTATAATTACAATAGCACTATAGATCATTTTACAATCCACTATTAGTAAAAAAGAAAAAGAAAAATAATTAGAAAAAATCACTAAAACTTATAATTAAAAATAGAATGACTTAAAGGGGAACAATAAATTATTCAAAAAGTTAAAAATTTTATCTGAAAATACATAAAAGAGAACATTTAGGTTATCCAAATTTAATAGAAAGATAAAAAAATATTGATACTATTACAAAATAAAAATGCTCTTGTGGACAAATAATGCTTTATTGGTTGTACAGATGTGTTGGTTACTTATGGCAAATTAAGTTCAGAAAAAAAATACAAAATAATATAAATATTAAATATCACATTTTTTTTTTTATCTCAATTACCTTTATTCCTTCAAAACAAATAATTTTTTAAAAATTTTAAGAAAAAAATCTAAACGTGCAAAGCACATGATCCATTATTAGTGAATATTAGGTAGTAGTATTTGATGTGGCAAACAATCAAAAGCGATCCATAGGCATGATTTATTGATAGCTCAAGGAATCCACAGAATCAAAGGAATCTGTAGAATTTGGGCTCAAGCTGGGCACAAGCTGGGAAAAAAACAAGAGAGTCAAAACAACTAGATGTTGCCTACAAGATCTATTTAAAACATTACACTGAAGGATTAATTATTTAAAAAGCAACTTCTTGAAGCAAACTACGGGAAGTGAAATACAGAATATCATGATACGCAGCAGAATGGAGATCAGATGCTGGTTGTAGTGTCCGTTGCAAAACTATAGAGCTTCTTTTTAGGTTTTTCGAAGATGCCCTGTCCGTAAGTGCGACTGATCATCTCAACCAGAAGAGGGAATTGCAACAATGAGTAAAGAGCTATTGGAACAACAGAGAAAACTATGATTGGGTAGGAAATCCAAGCTACTTGTTTGATCAGCATCAGATAGAGAGCAGTACCAAATGATGCCATCATGGTGACTATCGATACGAACAAGCATGTGATTCCAAATATCAGCTTTGTGGGCAAGGACTTGAGAAAATCTCGTTCAGCATAACGTGCAGTGAGAATCCCCAAGAACATTAGAATTGATGTCGAAGAAGTGAACATCGACAGTGCATTTGATGCCATAAAAATCAAAAATGCTTTTGATTGAGTTTCTAGCATGACAGGGAGCCCTGTTTTACTATCATTACCACCTGGAACTGTGAAAGCTGTTGTAAACATGACTGCAGCGATGAGAGTTCCCACAATCATACTTGATCCTGCCGTATTTTTCATCCATCTTTCTCCCTCCTTAGCCAACACCTTATGCTCTTCAGTAAAGAGTTCAGAAGGTGTTTTGTTATAGGCATTGCGTTGTTCCTTCATCCTTGGTTGCACAATACTCTCAACTTCCTGCAAACTAATTCACGTCAGGAACAATCTCTCACTAGGACAATACAAGTAAATAAAGAATCTTGCAGCTGTTATGTCTTTATTTCATGACACAGTGACATGAGTTGCAACATAGAGATAGTTTGGCTGTCTTTACGACACCTATAAATGCCGCTATTAGGTGCATTTGCAACATTGAAATTGTGCCGCATACATTTTTTGCAGCATCATAAAAGCGGCTGTCGTATTTCTTATGGGGCATGAGTTTAGGCAACATATCAGAATAATGCCACAAATCTACCGCAAAAACCTTTTTTTGTAGCTGTATATGTTGATTTTTCGCGGCATTATTCTGATGCCGCATAAAGCCAAAATTCTTGTAGTTTCATGAGACATGAAAACAAAAATATGTATGACTACGAATTGACTTTGAATTAAATTGCTCACCTTATACCATTGTATTTCCTTTTGCATTTGAAGAGCTGCTCCAGAAATCTTGTCAAGTTGAGACAATGGAGACAGCTTGGCTGCTAAATGTAGCAGATTGTTGCCGAAGAAATCACCCCTACGTGCTAGTATGCTCTTTCTTGTTTCCAAGGCATTTAAAAAGCTATAAATTTTCTCTTGGCGAAGCAGAATTGCATGTGAAAAAATTGTTCTGCCCTTTCCGTCTCTTTTATATATGATTGTGGTCTTATATGTAAAACTGTTCTCAACGAACTCAATGATTCCTTGCTCAATCGCATCGTATAAAATTTTCATGATATCCATCTTTTCAAGGTCTTTCATGCTCAATTCCCGGATTTCCTCAAATATGAGCTTCCGGAGTTCAATGGCATCTTTATGAATCAATTTCCTGTCATGATACAAACCAAGGCAACTTAATATGCTCCAACCGAGTCCATGCAAAACCTTCCGCACTGTAAGAAAACAGATACACATAGGATGAATTAAATGAGATGGAAAGCCATTAGTATCATAAATGCTTCAAAAGTGAGATCAAAGGGAATAAAACAGAAGTCTAGCAGTTATTTAGTTGCACAACAGCGTAAGGGCATCTAAAACATTGTTACACTCGACTGAAGAGCCTCTTCACAACTAAACAGACAGGAAACTAGTATTATATGTCTTCAGAGATAGAAACTTGCATGCCTGCTTAGTGCATATGAAGCGCCAAATGAGTTGTACAGAAAAGAAAGAGCAGAACTTGTGAACAGATATATGATAGGAATAATGCCTATTGGAATGTACAAAGAATGAAAAGCTCAGAGAAAGAAGGCAAGGATCGGAAAGAGTTAACAACTATTTATAAAATTTCCCCAATTTCTTTCGTTTTTTTTCTTCTTTCTCAAACCTTTTCTCAATTTCTCTTGTTTTCTTCTAAATCAAGGTGAAACTCATAAGAATCCGGATCAATCAAGTAAGGGAGGGCTAAGAACTACAGATTTGCCTGCTTACCAAGGTAATTTTAGTGGCTGAGAACAATGGCTTTGCCTAAAAAAAGTGAAACCCATGAGAATCCTTAAGTTTAGCAATCGTATTTATGCACACATGTGAATGAAAAATCCCTCGTTCTTATCCTTAGAAGGACATAATCTTTTATCTTTAATAATCTTCTATCTTTTTTTTTTCCAAAAAAAAAAAAAAATCTCTTTTCTTCTTTTATTTTAATAATCTTTTATTCCTACTAGAAAAGCCTCCAAAATGTTGGACTTAATCCTATAAAACTTGAACTTTCCTCTGGCTTATCCCAGTTATAGATAGGCCTATTCAAACACACAAAGGACTGTGAATGGGCCGGATCGGTCTAATGATAGCGCTTTGGATTAAGCCTTAAGTTTTAACTGGTTTAATGATAGCTTGAATCTAAACATAAAGGCCGACTTAATCGTGCTTGGGGCTTCATTAGGCTCCGCCCAATTAAGCATCGCCTGAATAATTTTGCATGTAAGTGTATATATTTTATAGGGTAAATCTTTTCCTTTATAGATTTTTTGATAGTATAAGTAAAAGAGTTCAAATATGAAATTTTTCAAAGTTGAATTTCAAATTCAAAGTTTATCAGAATTCAAAGTTATCACTCATTCAAAATTGATAGCGAATACACTATCAGAACATAATATAGAAGATTAATACTATTTTATGGGTCGTGCTGCAGTGAAGACAAGTTATTGGATTTTAAGAAAATAAAAAAGAACTAAATTATGATATTTATAAAGAAGAAATAGCAGTATAATAAAAGGTAGAATAGAGAGTGAGACAGAAGATCCGTTGCCAAAAACAACACACTCCATTTTGTCATCTAGCTACAGCAAAAATTGAGAGAAAAAAGAAAAGCTAGGGAGAAGATTCCTAACCCAAAAATGTTTTGCAACAGAAGGAATTTTGGAAGACGAAATTTGATACTTGACATACCAAAGCTAGTAATCTGTAGGCCCCGATTTCCTGTCAAATTCGCTTCATCATCAGTAATCTCAATGCTGTGGTCTTCAATCATGCTTGCTTTTGTTGTCTGATCATCTTTAGCAGAATCTGCTGGACTCCCCCATGGAGAATGTTCCATTAGACCTGGGGCATAAATACAGAGTATAAGTAGCAGTCTCCAACACTAGTACACAATTACTATATGCGGCAAGTTGGTATTCTTGTTATTGGAAGATTTTATGCTGAGATAACAATCAAAATTCAAATTTCATACTGATATGGCAATTAAAATTCGTAGAAAGTAAGAAAAAAAATGCACAATGGCTATTATTCTTAGATTGTTTTCCTTCTCACTGAATTAGAGTGCATAATATTGTTCTTCATTATATACAAGTCAGTGATCATTATTAAAACATTTACCCTGGAATTTGATGTAAAAGTAAAGTAGAACTGGAAAAAGGACACTAACATGAATGGATCCATCTTTTCCAGGAAACAAGTTTGGTTCCACTAGGAAATGCGGATGGCTTGTGAGCCAGTAACTGGAGAGCATAGTCACCATTATGATCTGGGGTGACACCAAGTTTTGGATATCGTCGAAGTAGCATTAAAGCAACATCTGTAGCAATCAGAAAGGGGTTAGGGGCACATATATTGAAGAAGGGTTTGATGCAGATTGGTATATTGCCTCTTGCATCCACAATCTTACCATACATTTCTGCTGTTATCAGGGAATTAAGCAGTGTAGCACCATTCTTACCCTCCTCTGGGCGAAATAACTCTCTTGGTGTCACCGAGTATAGATAATCAACCATATGCTTTTGACCATACAAAGCAGCCACTATGACAGGAAGCTGCCCATCAAGTCCGTCATTCTCCTTGATAAGAAGCCCGTCATTTTTTTCCACGATTGTTTTTGCCAACTTTGTTACACCACGGATTGCAGCAAAAGTAAGAGCTGTGCATCCATTGTCATTAGCCATATTCAAGTCAGCTGGTTGCATTCTTCTCAACAGCTCCTTTGCAATTTTCATGTGTCCATTTAGAATGGCAAATTGAAGTGCAGTTCCTCTATGTGATGAAATTATGGCCCTAACAGCGCCTGGATCTTGATCAAGCAGACTTTTTGTGCCATCAAAATCGCCTGTTGCAATTGCTATGTACAAGGGCCTATAGCGAAGGTCTTTTGGTCCTGTAAACATTAGAATTTGTTTCGAATAATATCTCTAATATGGTCATCTATCATAATTAATGAGCTCGTAGAAGGCACAATAGAAATCTGAACGAGTATAAAAATTTCAAGAAGTCCAGAAAAAGAGCAATAATAGTGTCATTGGATATTAAGCAATGACTAAATGAAGATTCCAGATGTGAAAGATATATTCTAAGCTTTTGGAAAATTAGGCCTCCCAACTCTGAAGTCTCTGCCATTGTTTGGCACAGCAGAGCTAGATGAATTGGAGTTTTATTTGAAGCAACGTACAGAAAAATTCCCTAGTGAAGAATTGCTTGCTAAATGAGCAAAAGAAAACTAATCAAATGGAATAAGCAAAAAAATAAAGAAAACCTGCAATTGCTGAATCATAACTTTGCTCCGATACCACATGATTGAAAATACTTATCGAATGAACCATAGTGTTCTTAAAATTTGTCGAAGAGAGAAAACTTCTTCAATTCACTTCTAAAATTATATGTGAAACCGTAAACATTTCATAGCAACATGATCGAGAGTTACCTTCTTCTTCAACACGGCTTCTTTCATCTTCAGGATCACCTTCTGAGAATATTTTGTAGGAAAACTTCTTCAATTCACTTCTAAAATTATATGTGAAACCGTAAACATTTCATAGCAACATGATCGAGAGTTACCTTTTTCTTCAACACGGCTGCTTTCATCTTCACGATCACCTTTTGCAAATATTTTGTAGGGCTTTAGTTTTTCCACCAAATGCTTCCAAGCAACTTCCGCAGAAGTGTGAGCCTCCTTAAGTTTAACATATGTGCCTGTTCCACACGAAAGTTGGATGGCATGCAAGGCCAATGCATTCTTCTTCTTCCATTCCTCATGTTCTTGTTTCTTTTCTTCTCCATATTCTTGTCTCTCATCGTTTATAGGATCTTTCTCCCCTCCAGAAACAACACCCCAAAGGCCATGACCAACCAAATAATGCTCCAAGCATCTTTTCCATTCCTCATAGTTCTCCTCAGTGAACTCCTCGGGAACAATTCCGATTGCTGCTCTACCAATTCTATCATCTCCTGCTTAGATGCATAATCTTAAAGGATGCCAATGTCCAAGATATATCGGCGGGTGCACAATTTAATTAAAACACTTACCAGAACTTACAAAGAACATAGATAATAAACAAGTTTATTCCTATTAGTCAAAAAGCAACTAGAATTGGTCCCTTTAGCTTAAACTGTGTGTCAAATTGGAGGACATTAGAGCACTTTTGGAGGCTGTGCTAGAAGGGCTCAAAAAGGGCATTTCCACAGAAAGAAAACACATAAAAAGTGAGGTATACGAATTTGCTTTCGTAAGATGGTATGGCTATCTGTTCGAACAATAATCAGAAAACGCTAGACGCAGCTTTGAAAATGCAAAATTAGACCTACCCCAAAACCAAAAAAAAAAAAAAAGAAATGCAAAATTAGGTCATTGTTCAGAAGCATACCAACCAAAGCTAGAGATCTTGAAACCAAGCGGTAAGATGAAATAACGAACCAGTAACAAATTTCCTTTCAATTCGTCAAGAAATAAATGAAGGCATTTGTCCTGAACTTCATTAACTGATTAAACAACCTCACAACCCCATCAGATTTCTTCCTTATTTTGGCCATTTGGAATTATGGACTACGGAAAAGTCAAGAAATACTGCAAGACTAATATACTAAAGTCCCAGTTACTGTTTGCAACAATGGATTCCCAGAAGAGCAGTGAGTTCAACTGATCGTCCTTTCAAGAATTAGCCTCAACTACTCATTTTGACTCTCCCGTGATTCTACATCTAATTAAGGAATGCATGGTGATATTTCACTGTAAATCAAACAGGACTGATTTTGAAGGTGGCCATGCAGAGACATTGACGGCCTCACAATGTACGGTGCAGGCCCCCAAAATGTAGTTACAGACCCACGTCCCACTCCTCGCGGCAGGGTTTAGGCAAAGCTTCATATTCCTATAGTTTTTTTTTTTGTTTCATATTCCTATAGTTACCAAAAGGTTCTGTTTGTTTGGCGGAAAAGTGAAGTAAAATGAGGTAAAGAAAAAGGAACTTTATCACATGTTTGGTTGACAAAAGAGATTCCACGAACTCAACATTACAAGATTTTTTAAATGGGTGCCTATAATTTGTATTAAAAAAATTCTAATGGATGCCTCAGGATAACTATTAAAACACCTAAATTACAACTTAACATAGTATATGAATACACATGTACATCAAATCGTTCAGAAACAAATATTAGGGAATAGATTGTTAAGAGCGAAATTGGCCATTTTAACAATGAAAAATTTAAGTCATAAGTAGAAAAGTCACTCAAATTCAGAAACATGACTTTGCACCTCTTTGGCTGCTTAGAATTGATCCAATGGAATGAAAAGAGGAAAAATAGAAAATAGGAAAAAAAAAAAGAAAAAGAAAAACCAAATGGGGTAAATGGAAAACAGCATGACTTTTACGCTGATCATAAGTGAACAAAATATCACAATTGAGCACTTATATGTAGAATAAAATGAGGGAACCAAAAAAACACGTATTTCTTTGGTCTAACCTGAAACTTTCGTCATCCTTTGACCGTGACTTTTTGTAATTAATAGAGGAAGCGAAACCGTAATGGCGCCCTAAGCATTAATTAGCACCGGTATTTATAGAAGCACACATCAAGGGATTCTGATTAATGGGAATAGCATCTATATACAGTTTATACAACAAAGTGATTCTGATTAATTAATGGGAATAGCTTTTTATATGCGCTTTAGTGATTCTCATTAATGGGAATAGCATTTATGTACACTTTTGCACCTTTTCTTTCTTGTTATCTACAGTATCTTGTTTCTGATTAATGATATGATGTAACATAAATTAAAGTGGTTATTCGATACAACTGTGATATGCTATGCTATTCCCATGTGTTTCACGCAATCAATGCAAATTGATTGATTTTTAGCTAATAAAATTCCAACGAGCTAATAAAATTCTAGTCTTACTTTTTTCATTGTAATTATGATAAGTATTAGTATGATTTTTCATTCCAACGAGCTGATTTTTCTTCATTTTATTATTCATATTATTATTGTTATGATCATTATTAATATAATTATGACTACTATATTATATTAGTATTGATTTTATTTTTAACTTGGGTTTTAGTGAGACTCAATGGATACCCTCTTATTTTACCATGAAAATTAAAGGAGAAGAAGAAGAGTTAATTTCATGCATTTCCAACCTAATCTTTACATACATACATTGAGAACTTGTAAAGACTTATATATATTGTGGTCCATGCAACCTCACCTCCGCAGACTCCTATAATAAACCATTAGAAACCAGAAGACTACAGTTCACGAATATCAAAAGGCTGGTTTACCACTTATCACATATTGCTGATAACATGGAAGAAAAGTTTCACCCAAAAAAAAAGATAAAAGTAATCCATTACATTTTAGATTACATAGCCACATTAATCAAAGATAAAAGTACTAATAAATCTTAATAAACACACATGTTTGCTTGACCTCTGCTGATATAAATTCAGCAAAGAATTTAACGCAGTGGAAAGTATTATTTGGACTCCATTTTTGTGGTCCTTGAATAGTCCATCAATTATTGGTCTTTTTGTCAAAAAAAAAAAAAAGAATATTCCATCGATTCCTTAAGAAAAAGAATACTCAGATAATGTCATATCCACAAATGCATGAAACAAACATGGAGCAGCAATATATCTCTTTGGCTATGCTTTAGAACCAAATTCCAGACCAAATTAAATTGGCTAGGAGCTAATCAACTCTCTCATGTCTATTTTATCCACAAAGCCATAGAGGTTGGCACAGCTGGTTTTCCCCATACTTTTCCAAATATGATTCGATATCACACTTAACAGTAGTAAATAAATTTTGATTTATATTAAGAGTAAACAGATAAAGGATCCTCTCTAATGAGACTTGTGACTTTACTAAGTTATTTTGAATCAAATAAGTGAAGGGTTATCGATTAATTAAAGAGAACTTTGTAATCACTTTGGACTTTGTCTAAGTAATTTTTATCAAACAAGGGGTGGCAATTTTTGATACGATTCGAAAATATAATTCGAACCTAACACAAAATTAGTGGGTATGGATTTATTCTTCACGTGTTCGAGTCAAAATCATGTCAGACTCGATTAATCCGCCAAACAAACAAGATTGACCTATTTGACCCGTTTAACCCATTTAATGTGTAAGTTTATAATTTAATAATAAATTGGACGTAAAGAAAACTAACCTAGATTAGTATTACGAGAACGGAATCATGAGTGTTTTGCGAAAACAAGATATTTTATTTGTGAAAGCGTCGTAATTTTATTTTTGTTCATGATTTTTTTTTTGTACAAAAAGGAAAACAAAAAAATTACTACAAGTACCATATACAAAATTTAAGATTGGGCTGCAACTTTCTATATTTTTACGGAAACTCCATTATAGAAAAGTCCACCATACTACCAAGGTGAGAAGGCCGAAAAAAGGAATGTTAAACACATAGGTTATTCAGGTTAGGTTCGAATAACCTGTGAAATTAGCGAGTCATATTTTGTTAACGTGTTTGTTCATGATACTTGGGTCTCAACCCAACCAGCCAACCCGCAGCCTGACCTAATTGCCACCCCTAAAATAAGTGAAGGGTATCTTAGGCGTTACAAAGGAAAAACCACAATTATAATATGCACATTTATATCATTTACTCATACCAAGAACACTATATTAGATTTGATTTAAGATTCATCTTCACAGCACAACCAGCAATGATACTGAGGAATTCCATCTTAGTTGCATTTGCTAACACTAAATAATGAGTAAGAGAACTCAGCAAATCCAATTAAAATATCAATACTACATATTAGGTAGTAATTGATGTGGCAAAAACAATCAAAAGCAACCCATAGGTATGATTTATTGATAGCTCAAGGAATCCATAGAATCAAAGGAATATGTAGAATTCCAGCGCAAACTGGGCACAAGCTGGAAACAAAACGAAAGA